TAGATGTCTGGTACAACCAATAAGTGGGGTTAAACTAGTAAAAACGTTAGATGTCTGGTACAACCAATAAGTGGGGTTAAACTAGTAAAAACTTTAGATGTCTGGAACAACCAATAAGTGGGGTTAAACTAGTGAAAACTTTAGATGTCTGGTACAACCAATAAGTGGGGTTAAACTAGTAAAAACTTTAAATGTCTGGTACAACCAATAAGTGGGGTTAAACTAGTAAAAACTTTAGATGTCTGGTACAAACAATAAGTGGGGTTAAACTAGTAAAAACTTTAGATGTCTGGTACAACCAATAAGTGGGCTTAAACTAGTAAAAACGTTAGTTGTTTGGTACAACCAATAAGTGGGATTAAACTAGTAAAAAACTTTAGATGTTTGATACAACCAATAAGTGGGGTTAAACTAGTAAAAACTTTAGAAGTTTGGTAAAATTACGATATGTGTTGAAACCAATGAAACCTTTAGATCAGCGGTTCTCAACCTGTGGGTCGTGACCCTTTCACTCAGTTATAAAGCTGCAATAAAAATAATTATATGTTTGGGGGTCACCACAACATGAGGAACTGTATTAAAGGGTCACGGCATCAGGAAGGTTGAGAGCCACTAGTTGAGATGTTTGGTAAAACCAATTAGGAAAGTAAAATTAATTAGTAAAACCTTTAGATGTTTGGTAAACCCGAGAAATGTGGTGAAACTAATTAAACCTTTTTCTTCTTTGCATTCACCAGCTGTGAACTCCTATGGAAGGTTCTGATTGTTCATAAACTTCCAGGCTTTAATCTTGTTACAGAACCTGAGTTCTGCAAGTGCATCATTTTACAGATCTGGCTTATCTGCATCCAGACTGTTGGTTCCTGATCTTTCAGGCAGATACTCTCCATCTTTAAAAGAAACCCCTAATAATTCCACTTTAATTACATGCTCGTTGTTAGGCAGTGAGTCTATTCTTGTTTTCCGCCACAATGGGCCCCAGAACTCACAATGCGAATAATCACTAAAACTTTTGATGTTTGGTAAACCGAGAAGTGTTTAAACTAGTTAAGTTGATAAAACCTTTAAATGTTTGGTGAAACCAAGAATAATAAATGAATGAACGCAAAAATCAAGAATTAACACCCCTGCATTTCCATACATGCAAAATCCCCTTCATCAGTAGCCAAAGAAGAGTTTCCATTCTTACAGTTTAAATAACAGTTTGCCTGTTGTTTTGTTTTCTCCTGTACATCCATATTCTCTGCTCACTTCTAGCTGAATCATTCTCTGCAGATACAGAAGCTCTGCTTGTCCTGCTGCACTGTTTACTTGATCCCTGAGAGCCCCCAACACAGCCTCCTTGTTGTAATGAATTTTCTTCATGCCAGGATATTCCCTGTACCCAGTTGCAGCTGGGCTAAATTGTTAATACTGGGGGCCATTAAACAAAAATAAAAAAAATCTTGCTTAGCTGGGATTTAAACATAAAACCTGTCACTCTTCTCTGAGAGATATTTTCCCTTGCAAAAATGTTAAACTGTTTAGCATGTTCACTCTAGGTAGAAGGACAGAAAGAGTCAAAGAGTCAGACAGACAGGCAGATGGAGAATCAGACAGACAGGCAGATGGACGTCAGACAGACAGAAGGACAGAGTCAGATAGCAATACAGTTAGTCAGAAAGATAAATAATAAGACAGACTCACAGGTAGCAAGATAGAAAATGTCGGAAAGATAGTGGGAAAAAGAGCTAGATAGACAGACAGTAGAACAGACTGATTATAAGTAGGGCTGTACCGAATAGTAATGCTCACTATTCGGTCGAATACGAATAAAGGGACCAACTATTTGGCCTAATACAAATAGTGTATAAAATATATCTAAAAAAAAATTAAAAAACACAATCATAATGTCAAATGTACGCTGAACGTTTACTTCACATAAAGTAGCACAGAATAGTCATCTTCTTCTTCAGCATTCTGAGCCCTTGATGTTTACTGCTGCAGATATCACTTGTCTCCATTCATCTCTCTGGCTGGCCTTCTCTTCATAATTTGTGACACCAGTTATTTGCAGGTCTGACTGGACTTTATCTCTCGAACTTCTTTTTTTGTCTACCTTGTGGTCTTCGTCCATTCCTCTCTCAGGTGTTTACAGTTTTACTTTTCTGACATTCTTTCAATATGCCCCAACCATTTTAGTCTGTTAACTCTCATGATGCCAGTGATCAATGGTGATTTAAACAGATTATGTGTTACGTTGTTGCTTCTCTCTCTCCATTCCCCGCTGTTAGCATCTTTGATGGGTCCACAGATTTGTCGGAAGGATGTTTTCGAAAACCTGTAATAAGACCTCATCTTTTTTATTTCTGCTTCAATTTTCAGAGCCATATAAAACGACTGGTCTTATCAACGTTTTATATATTTTGATCTTTGTGTTGCGAGACAGACACTTTGACTTTAGCAGATGTTAAAGGGCACAGTATTCTTTATTTCTAGATTGTATTCTAGATTGTATTTCTTCTCTTAGCATGATGAAGCAGGTGAAGTTTGCACCCAAGTACTTATATGTTTCCGTTTGTTTGATTTTCATATTATCGACTTGGATGTGGCCGGAGTTTATATTCTTTCCATGTCTAGTTAGTATTCGTACAGAATAGTAAACATTTCAAAACATTTTATGTTTTGCATCCTTCAGTCAGTCTGTGGTAACTGATAACTAGGAATTAAAGAATCCTAAGTATTGTAACAAGTAACTAAACTTGGAAATTGTCACTGACAGCTTAGTTAATGCATGAATGCTGCATTAGCTTTCAACAAAACCAATCGTTCCATGTTGACAGTATTAAGGCCGTGTATGCAGAAGTGGGTGTAAGGTAACTACTATTTGTATTCGGCCCGACCGCAACTGTTCGGCCGAATACGGAATAGTCAATAGGTCCACTATTCGGCCCCAAAGCGAATATTCGGTACAGCCTTAATTATAAGACAGATAGTTTTTGGTGGGTGACATGGTCATTACGCGGCTAGAAACTTTTACTCAACAGAATGAATGAATCAATAATCGATATCAATGCACACAGGACATTTCTGTATATGCTCCGTGCCGCTCCGCATAAGCCAACATAAAATTCCCATAATGTTGGTGTCCTGCTGTGACCTGATTAAAAGTGTGACTGAGTTTCCGGCTTCCGGTAAAACTTGTCCAGACCCTCTGCTCACTCAATGCTGAATCATTTTCTCCAGACATGGATGCTCTATCTGTTGTGCTGCACTACTGACTTGATCCCAGACAATCCTTCTCTCCAGACACGGATGCTCTATCTGTTCTGCTGCACTGCTGACCTGATCCCAGACAATCAATCTCTCTAGACATGGATGTTCTATCTGTTCTGCTTCACTGCTGACTTGATCTCAGACATGGATGCTCTATCTGTTCTGCTGCACTGCTGACTTGATCCCAGACATGGATGCTCTATCTGTTCTGCTGCACTGCTGACTTGATCCCAGACAATCAATCTCTCTAGACATGGATGTTCTATCTGTTCTGCCTTTACTGCAGACTTGATCCCAGACATGGATGCTCTATCTGTTCTGCTTCACCGCAGACTTGATCCCAGAGATGGATGCTCTATCTGTTCTGCTGCACTGCTGACTTGATCCTAGACATGAATGCTCTATCTGTTCTGCTTCACTGCTGACTTGATCCCAGACATGAATGCTCTATCTGTTCTGCTTCACTGCTGACTTGATCCCAGACATGAATGCTCTATCTGTTCTGCTTCACTGCTGACTTGATCCCAGACATGAATGCTCTATCTGTTCTGCTTCACTGCTGACTTGATCCCAGACATGGATGCTCTATCTGTTCTGCTTCACTGCTGACTTGATCCCAGACATGAATGCTCTATCTGCTCTGCTGCACTGCAGACTTGATCCCAGACATGAATGCTCTATCTGTTCTGCTTCACTGCTGACTTGATCCCAGACATGAATGCTCTATCTGTTCTGCTTCACTGCTGACTTGATCCCAGACATGAATGCTCTATCTGTTCTGCTTCACTGCTGACTTGATCCCAGACATGAATGCTCTATCTGCTCTGCTGCACTGCAGACTTGATCCCAGACATGAATGCTCTATCTGCTCTGCTGCACTGCAGACTTGATCCCAGACATGGATGCTCTATCTGTTCTGCTGCACTGCTGACTTGATCCCAGACATGGATGCTCTATCTGTTCTGCTTCACTGCAGACTTGATCCCAGACATGGATGCTCTATCTGTTCTGCCGCACTGCTGACTTGATCCCAGACAGTCTTCACCATGTCACTTTATCATAAAGAATATTCTTCACCCCAGAATTCCTTGTACCACTTCAGGCTGGGCAGAAATGGATACATCAGATCAATGTTTAACAAAATGTCTTTCTCAAGGGGGTTTCTTCTGTGCATTCACCAGCTGTAAACTATGGTGCAAATTTGTTATTGCTCGTCCAGTTTTGAACTTTGGTCTTGTTCCAGGTCATGCTTGTTGCATGCACTTCCATTTGATGGATCTGTCTCATTGAATCTGGATTGCTGGTTTCTCGCCTCTCAGGCAGATGCATTCCCACTTTGAAGAAAAATCTCTAATTAGTCACCTTTTACTACTGGCCATCTCGTTAGAATGCAGCAAGATTAAATACCATCACAAGCACCACATCTCAGAAGATCAACCACAAGAGCAAGAGGACGGCCGTGAAATAACATGGTGTTCTTCACGGCATGACAATAGCCAGTGGCAGCCCTGGATCGCAATTTATTCCTCCCCAAGGTGGCAAACGGCAGAAGTGGTTTATGATGATGGTGATACTACGTGTTTGCTAGGGAGCAGTGGGTCTATTCCTTCCCCCCCCCCCCCCCCCAAAGTGTCCTTCAACTCTAAAGGTGCAACAGGGATTTAAACACACAAACCATGGGCCCAAAAAACATAATCAACTGACCACTTATTTTAAAAATTAACAACAACAACAAATCTGCTTACCATCCACTAAAGGCCGCTCCTCATTTGTCTGGTTCCCATAATTCTCATGACTGGTGCTTTCATCCCGACCTACATGGCGCTGCACACTCTCAAAATCGTCATTAAGTTCAGGATGGTACTCGGCGTGGTTCGCTCCCAGGCAGTTGTGAATGCGATCCTCATCGCCATCATACACTTGGAACTTGACCTCAATTTGGGTCTGTTCTAAATCACTCTCTTCGTCATTCTGGTCTGACGGCATGGGTTCCCCAATGTCCATCTCAGCCTGGGGCTCTGTGCTGTGAGATAATAAGACAGGGATACAACAGGCTCATCAACACATCTTAACAACAAGAAAAGGACATAAGAAATCCTAAATGAACTGCTTCAGTGACCAGACGAGATAACATCATAGAAACTCTACACCACTTTCAAGTATCTATGGTACTCTGTGTGGGATCCAGGGCCCCATTTTGCATAAAAATAAAACCAGATCTGTAAAACGGATGTGTAGGAAAGCACATCATGTGATGAGAAAAGAAGCACTGGAAAATATTGTGATGACTAGAAAGATCACTGGTAGCAGAAGCATAGACAGACCAAGAGAAATGATGGTGGATGGCAGTGGCATGGAGGAAGGTTCTCATTGTTCATTCACCTCTGAACTTGTGTCTTATTCAAGAACTTGTGTTTTACATCATCATCATCATCAAGTGCCCTGCTAGCTGGTGTAGGCCTTCATGCATCTTCATAGATCCTAGTCTTTGGTATTCTTGATCAATTCCATTTATGAAATAAGAGAGAAAACCAAGGACACCCCAGGGGCAGCTAGTTATATGGGTATAAAACATAAGAGATCCATTTTCATGCACTCATGTGTATTAAATATATTCAACTACGGCAGAAAGTTCTAGTTGTTCATCTACTTCTGCTCTAGAATTGTAGTTTTGCTTGAACATCGTTTTACAAATCTGGCTTACTTATATGCCAACTGTTGGTTCCTTGCCGAGTGCTTCATGCCCCAATGCAACGGGTGTCACAGTTTCTCAATGCTCACTGCACCTAGCAGGAGTTGACTGGCATATCTTATATCTTTGCCCCCATGACAGGTTTCTGCATGCCTGTCCAGATTTAATACTCACTGCCAGTTCATTGCCTCTGTATCCTTTGTCTCAACATCTCTGGAATGTGCAGCATATTCACTATGTCTCTCCTGTAAATATTACTCAAACCAATAACTACTGCAGACACATCTAGTCTGTCAGCTCTTTAATTTCCTTTCACTCTGGCGTTTCTCACTGTGTTCAGCCAAGAGAGTTTCATTGAGGTGGGACTTCTGAATGATGTCAACCCATTATAGTCAAAGTCTGCCAATTTAGGTCTTCTGAAGAAGGCTCAGTGAATATGTCACTATCAATGTATAAGTTGTTTTCAGTTCAGCTAGCCATGCTAATGCTCCTATGACAGTTGCAATCTCCATTGTCATGCTTGAAGTAGTTGAATTGAATGCCTCTGACTTGCTTTTGTTGTCTTCCCATTCACCTGCACTCAGTGTCCTCAGCTAAGCCGCACCCCATGAGTCAATGAGTCATCTGTGTAGATGATAACTTCAACTGATTGAGTGTACTCGTGGATGAAGGCCTTTATTTCAGCATCAGTGGCTGTTTCGCACCATTCTCTGCCAAACCTGCCCAGACTGATTATTATTTCTTGTATTCTTTCTTGTGTTTCTATCCATTTAACACTGAGCCTGACATGTTGGACAAATCTGGCTAATGGTGTCATGTACTTTCACGGTCCAGGACCACCTTTATCTTTAGGATTTTACTGGCTGTTGTGGTTTTTCTAGTCAAATTTTACATTCAGTAGTTTGCTATTGCCTCCTGAACGGTCAGCTCTTGGTACCACTGTCGAAACCAGCGCCCAAAAAATCGTCCGCAGCAGGGATCGCACTCTGGCATAAAGAAGCGCTTTCGCACCGCCTTAGCCAGACGCCAACCCTATTTAGCTACTTAATAGAAACATCCAAGTAGGCCTTCATCTGGGCTATCCTGTGTCTAGTGATCAAGTCTAGCAAGTTGAGGATATTTTCCATAGTGTGACGTGAGGTGCCTTTTGTGCACCCGAGGATTCAAAGGAAAAACCCTTAAATAATTGCCTATTATGAAAAATATGTTGGGGGGGGGAGGGGGGGAAACAGTGCATCTATTCTTTTTTCCCTAAAATGTGGCCTTGAACCTACAAGGGGTCAGATGTTTTCCATTTTTTTTTCTGACGATGACATCTTCTTTTTCTCTGCAGTCACTGGCTTAATTTTAGGCAGAAAGTTCTGGTTGTTCATCCACTTCTGGACTTTAGCCTTGTTACAGAACTTCAGCTTTGCATGCACATCCATTTTACAGATCTGAATGTTTAGGGAGGCCTATTAGGTCTATTGTTGTTTTTTCTCTCCCCATAACATACACAGAGAGCTCACAAGATTTTAAGAAGTACTGTAACATTCCACTTCATATTTTCATGTTTTATTCACAACATTCTAAGAATTATTCTATCACTTCAATTCAGATGCCTCATATTTTTTTTTTTCAATGATCTTAATAGCAGATAAATACTTACTGATTGAAGTGCTCTTGTTCTCTGTACTGAGAGTTGGACCTGAGTATATGTCTGAGAACCCACAAGCCCAGGACTGCCAGGGGAACCAGCACAGCTAAGATTGGCATGACAATCGTCAGCACCAGGTCTTGTGTTGAGGTACTTTTTGCTACAACCGTGGTATTGATGGAAGGCCCTGAGGAATAATGTCAAAGGTTAGTGGATGTCTTTACTTCTGCTTTTATGCATTCACCGGCTTTAAACTCCAGCAGAAAGCTTTGGCTGTTGGTGCTTGTTCCTGAACTTGAGATTTGCATGCACATACATTTTACAGATCTGGTGTATATGTATGCTGACTGTTGGTTCCTTGCTGCTCAGGTAGATAGATGCACTCTGGCTTCAAAAGTAAAACACCCCTAATTAGTCATCTCCTTCGACGTGCTTGCTGGGGGGCAGTGGGTCAACCCCCCCCCCCCCCCCCCCCGCCCACCCCACCAAAAAACAGAGAGTTAATGAATTAAACAGTGGTGTTAATGTAGGGATCTAATATGTGTGCCTAATGAGTGACTGAATGACAATTATCAAGAGAAACTAGGCTGGTTTCATCAGACAAGAATGGATTGCCTCACTAAGAGCATTGCGAATAATTGGTCTAACTCATATCACTGTGCCAGGTTATACATGTTTTCAGGGCAGATTAGCTGCCAAGCACCGTGGTTGCTATAACTGGTTTGGTACTGAACAGAAGCGATGTCATCAATGCCATGTAAGGCTTCTATAGTGAGGATACGTTTTTAGGTAGATAGGCATACAGATGGTTAGACAGGTAAGTAGATAGGTTGTATGTAGATGAAAAAGAAGTGGATTTGTAATTAGGTGAGCAGACTGATGTTTTATGTAGACAGCAATGTAATCAGATGGGTGGATAGGTTGCAAGCTAGGTATGGGCACAGGTAAGCCGGTAGGTAAGAATGTGTTTATGTATATCCATAGGTAAAATGGTTAAGTAGGTGAAAATGTACAGGTAAGCAGACACATAAGCTGGTAGGTACACTGGCAGATATTTAAATAAGCAGGTGTATGAACAATTCGGTGAACAATTTATTGGAAAGGCTGACAGACAGATGTGAGCGTGGATGGATGGATGGATGGACAGAAACATATAGACAGATGGAGGTAGCTAAAAACAAGCATCCAACCTGGAAGATCCAGATGCACTGTAGACGCATGGTCATAGGTACATATTGAGGAAAAGCCTGCAATAGAACAGGTGACTTCGCCAACATAAGGGGAACAGATCTGCACGGAGCTGGCCGAGTCATCTGTTGCTGTCTTGGTAGATAATGTCTTTGACTCCTCTCCCTAGAAGGATGCAAAGATTTTAGCACATTTTCGACCCTCGGTGAGGGTCACTTTAGTAATCACGTATAGATACTGTCATCTTTATCATTATACATCAAGGAACATTTGCATCGTTTGAAAATACTTAAGTGTCGTCTTGTAAGTTAGTTGTGTATCCTTTACAGGATGTTTCAGAACCAACCCCAGCCTTTTTTGGTTGTTGTGGTTTTTCTAGGCAAACTTACGTCCAGTAGTTTGCCACTGCGTTCTGAACCGGCAGCTTCTCGATATCACTGTAGAAACCAATGCAAGGCGCAACGCCAGCAGCTGATATCAAACCCAGCACCCCGGCGTTATTAAGCGTGTTTGCAATGCCTAAGCCACAGATGCCCACCTTCTTGCAGGTAGAAACATGAAATTCAAATTCTAATTTCACCAAAATGTATATGCTGAAGAAACTGTCATATTTCATGGAAATAAAAACAGTCATATAGAGTTTTATGTAAAAAGGATTGAAAGAAAGTTAATGGAAAAAAAAAGAGAGGCAAGGAAAATATTTCAGCCACACTGAAAGTTCAACACTCATAAAAACTATACCAGCTCTCCTCCGAATAATGGTCCCAAATGATCTACGCAGAAAGTGAACGGCGCGGGGGAAACTCTCGGAGGTGGCACTATTGTTGACGAAAAGCGGTCCGCAACTTACATATAACTCTGGCCCTGCCGTAAGATAGCGCTATCGGGAGTATTCTCGCGTCTCGCTAATTTTCTTTGTCCGCAGTTAATCCCAGGTTTGCCGCCGTATAATCACCGTAAAAAAATCTGTTGCGTTTCGCGAAAATGTCGTTTGCAATTAATCCTACTTTTGACACGGTTGATTCGCCGCAAAAGAAATGCTAATTTTAGACATGAGTGAGGCTCTGTTTGGGTTCACTTTCTGCATAGATCATTTGGGACCGTTATTCGCAGGAGAGCCAACTATACTGGAGGGAATAAATCAAAGTCAGGTGAATCGGGGAGTAGTCAGCAATGCATGAATGAAGCTTTTAGTGTCTACTACTTGTAGTGAATGAAGCTTTTAGTGTCTACTACTTGTAGTGAATGAAGCTTTTAGTGTCTACTACTTGTAGTGAATGAAGCTTTTAGTGTCTACTACTTGTAGTGAATGAAGCTTTTAGTGTCTACTACTTGTAGTGAATGAAGCTTAAGTAAAGGACCCTTTTCTACATCTTTAGGTGCATGTGTGCTAGTATTTTATAAACCAAATGGCACTCAGTGAGTGACGTGGTCAATATCACGCTGACCGCATTTACTTCCAAAAACTTTACCGGGTGCTCATTTAAGCCTGGGTTGACCCGGAAGACCAGGATCAAATATGATCCTAGCTCTATTTGGATTTGAACTCATGACATTCAGATCCATAGGTGAACGTCTAACCACTAAATCAGGGCAGTTCTCCAGCATTGCAAGTGAGAGGATAACATCAAGAAATGAAATCCAGCATTTTAAGAGTGTTTACAAATCAGCCCAGTAACAGATGTAACTTACTGCTCACATAGTCCAGTAACAGATGTAACTTACTGCTCACATAGTCCAGTAACAGATGTAACTTACTACTCACACAGCCCAGTAACAGATGTAACATACTGCTCACACAGCCCAGTAACAGATTCAACTTACTACTCACATAGCCCAGTAACAGATGTAACTTACTGCCCACATAGCCCATTAACAGATGTAACTTACTGCCCACATAGCCCATTAACAGATGTAACTTACTGCCCACATAGCCCATTAACAGATGTAACTTACTGCTCACATAGCCCATTAACAGATGTAACTTACTGCTCACATAGCCCATTAACAGATGTAACTTACTGCTCACATAGCCCATTAACAGATGTAACTTACTGCTCACACAACCCACTAACAGATATAATTCACTGTCCACATAGCCCATTAACAGATGTAACTTACTGCCCACATAGCCCAGTAACAGATGTAACTACTGTTTACATAGCCCAGTAACGAATACAACTTACTGCGCACACAGCCCAGGAACAGACATAACTACTGTCCACACAGCCCAGAACCAGAGTAACAGATGTAACCACTGTTTACACAGCCCAGTAACAGATGTAACTACTGTTCACTAAAGTCCAGTAGCAAATGCAACTTACTACCCACACAGTTTAGTAACAGATGCAACTGTTTATATAGTCCAGTAAAATGTAATTTAGTGTTCACAACAAATTCAAGTAGCAGGTATAACTGACCGCCCATGCAGTAGAATAACAGATGTTAACTTACTGTCCACACAAACTTGGCTGGAGGATAGCCGGCGTACTCCAGTGTTCCACAAGTTATGTTGATACAGTGAACGTTCCTAATGGAGTGGAAGGTCACCTCCGACTGACTAACATTCAATCGTCCATTGTATACAATTGGCCGTACTGTAAAAATGTCGAAACACAAAACATACAGACTTTGCTGAAATAGTTTTAGGTCAGGGTAATCACATTGTACTGTGATGCTTATGGTCAAGGCACTGCAAAAGTGCTCTTTGTTTTCTCCCAGTGTAATGTGGGCTTTAACCCTGTTGAACTTGGAATTTCTTCAGTTGCCACATTCCTACAAAGGTCAGGAAAACGGCATGTCAGTAGCGTATTGATCAGTACTTATAGAAAGAAGTAGAAAGATATAATAAAAATGAATAATTTCTGAAACTCTGGCCTTGTTCCAGAACTTGAGTTTACAGTGTACATCCATTTTACAGATCAGGCTTATGTGTATGCAGACTGTTGGTTCCTCACCTTTTAGGCAGAAGCACTTTAACTTCAAAGGAAACACCTCTAATTAGCCGCTTTTTACAACATGTGTATTGTGTGTGAGTGTGGGGGGGGGGGGGGGGAGATGGGTCTATATTTTTACCCCAAAATAGAGCCCCAGAACTCGCACAGGAGGACTAAGGCTATTATGGACGCAATGGTTTACTATGTAATGAGGATGATCTGCCAAAAACAGTAAAACCCCTGTACAAATTCTAAGGAACAGACAAATGTACATTTTGAGTTAAAGAAATACTGTGCTAACTGGAAATGAAGATGATGATAATAATAATAATACCACCCCACTGGGATCAATAATGGTCAAAATAAAGAAAATGGACCTACCAAAATGCAACAGCAAAGTTAATGGGACAACCTTCAAGCAAAATGATACATTTAAGTTCTTTGGTATGCTGACAATAGAGATTAAAGATGTAATTGAAAAGTTAAATGTGGAACAGTTTAAGCAAAGGCAGCATTTTTCACAATGAAGAATAGTCTATGCAATCTTACTTTGCCAAATGAGATGAGAGAGATAATTCTCAAGAGCTATATAAATCCTATCCTGATATATGGAAGTGAATCATGGACAGATGGACGATTAGTTAAAAATTATTTGAAAGTGGTGGAGATGTAGTTTTATAGATGAATGATGAGAGAATACCCTGGACTGATAAAAAGAGTAATGAAGATGTCTTGAAAAAAAATTTGGGGCTCATAAAGAGAACTGTGCCCACATCAGAAGGAGACAATCTATATTCTTTGATCATGTCAAGAGAAGGAAGAAAACTGGAGTACATCATGACAGTGGGAAAGTTGAAGAGAAAAAAGAGAGGAAGAGGAAAACAAAGAAAGAAGATGCTGGTTAGTTTGATATATGGCATGGAAGATATCTATGTCAGAACAATCTGAAAGTAACAGGACAGAAAGATGTGGACAGACACGACTACCATTGCTGGGGCCACAATTCTGTCTGCGTCAACCAAGTGTTCTTCTTAAGCAAGTTTATGTTAACGAGAGTTTACTGTAAATATAGAAAAGCAATTGCGTAGAAAAATTATCTTCCACGTCCACGACTGTCAAGCTCGCTATAATGAAAACATACCACCAAAAGAAAAGGATCATTAAATCGATCAAGAAACCACCAGCCCCAGCACAAGACGACTATTTTATTATGGACAGACCAGAACAAGTCATTATCCTCTGCCTCAGAACAGGGCACAACCGATTACGTAACCACATAAAATTCAAGATAGGTGTATCAGCCTTGTGCACCTGTGGAAATGTGCCTCAGACAGCAGAGCATGTACTCCAGGACTGCACCGAATTTGACACATTAAGGCAAACCTTTTGGCCAGAAAGAACAACAGTGGAACGTAAACTCTATGGACCACTGAATGAACTAACAACGACAGTGAAATTTATACAAGAGACAAAATTGCTGATATAGACAACTCATTTCGGGCAAACAAAAGAAGAAGAAAAAAAATGAAAACATGATATAACTGATGAATTAATCAAGTAACAGAAAGTGTATTGATCGGCACTCAAAGAAAGAAGTATAACCAATGGAAACTTACTGTGCACTGTTAAGTTGGTAGCTCTGGTCCAGACCTGACCGTTACTAATATGTGCCTGAGCAAAGTAGGTTCCATCATCTTCCATGCTGACTTTGTCTAGAAACACTCCCGAGTTCTCACTAGATAAACTGATTCTGTCAATGAAGTCAGAAGTTACACAACCAGCTGCCTTGGTTAGTGTGCTGACACTCACAAATGTTCATTCATATTACAAACAATTATTGAATTAAAACAAACTGTATGACATGTTGTGACACTCAACTCTTTCACTGCCAGACACTTGTTACTCTAATACTATTTACTTGAATATTGTTACTCTAATGTTATTAACTTTCTTTAATATTGTTACTGCAGTGGTATTATTTTACTTGAATATTGTTTCTGCAATGTTATTATTTTACTTGAATATTGTTACTCTGCTATTATCTTACTTGAATATTGTTACTCTAATGTCATTAACTTACTTGAATATTTTTACTCTAATGTTATTAACTTCATTGATTATTGTTACTCTAATGAAATTAAATTACTTGAATATTGTTACTCTAATGTTATTAACTTACTTGAATATCGTTACTCTAATGATATTAACTTACTTGAATATTTTTACTTTAATGATATTATCTTACTGAAATATTGTTACTCTAATGTTATTATTCTACTTGAACATTGTCACTCTAATGTTATTATTCTACTTGAACATTGTCACTCTAATGTTATTATTCTACTTGAACATTGTCACTCTAATGTTATTATGTACTTGCTTCCATAAATGATATTGAACTGATTGCATAGGATGGAGTGGAATAGGCTCTGAGCCCTATGTGACCTATAATGGCACAACAGGATAATGAATGAATGAACATTATGTTACTCTAATGTTATGATGTAGAGAGTAACAGTGGTGGAACAAATAGACACTTACCTGTGGATTCTCAGGTTATAAGTTCAAATCAGAATGGTGCTATACTTTACTTTTTCTTTTTTGAAAAAAAAAACTTGGCTCCCAGGTCGACCCAGCCTTTAATAGGTACCAGATAAAAGTCCTGGGAAGTATAGGTGGTCAGTGTGATGCTGACCATATCACCCACTTAGTATCAATTAGTCTCTAAAATATAGGTCTAGACCTTTATGCACAATATACCTAAAGGCGTGGAAAATGGTCCCTTAATGTTAATATATTAACCTAATGTTGCTTTGTTACCCTAATGTTGCTGTGTTACTCTGATTCTGTAATGTTACCGTGTTACTCTGATTCTGTAGTGTTATGTTACCTTAATTTTGTGTTACCCTAATGTTGTTTTGTTACCCTAATGTTCTTGTCTTACCCCAATGTCCTTGTCTTACCCTAATGATCTTATCTTACTCTAATGTTCTTGTCTTACCCTAATGCTGTTGTTATTCTGATGTTACTGTGCTGCTCAAATGTTAATATGTTACTTTACTGTTACTGTGCTGCTCAAATGTTAATATGTTACTTTACTGTTACTGTGCTGCTCAAATGTTAATATGTTACTTTACTGTTACTGTGCTGCTCAAATGTTAATATGTTACTTTACTGTTACTGTGCTGCTCAAATGTTAATATGTTACTTTACTGTTACTGTGTTGCTCTAATGTTATTATGTTGCTCTAATATTATTATGTTACTCTAATGATGTTACTCTAATGATGTTACTCTTCTTCTTCTTCTTCACTTCCTCTTTTACCGCTGTGGGTGTCAAGGGAGATATAAGGTTCTGTTTCTAGCTCTTCTGGCCGCCTCGACCATAGGCACATCGTGCTGTTGTAGAGTTTCTCTGATGTTCTCCTTCCATCTTGTTCTTAGTCTACCTCGTGCTCTACGACCTTCTTCTCTTTCCATGTATGCTTTGTATGGTATGGTGTCACAAGGCATTCTCTTTAAGTGGGCAAACCATTTCACTTGCTGTCTTCGTATGTAATTTAGAATTTGTTCTGTGCCGACTTTTTCTCTTATGATCTCATTCCTGATCTTATCTCTTATGGTCACTCCTACAGCCCTTCTCAGACATCTCATTTCCATGGTTACTAATTTTCTTTTATGGTTTGGTGTGAGTGACCATGTCTGGCACTGGTAGCACAGAGTTGGAATAAATATGCTTTGAATAAGATGTCTCTTTGTGCTGATTGGGATTGTCTTATGCTGTAAGAGGGGAGTTAGCTGTCCCAATGCTTGGTTTGCTTTACTGCATCTAATTTCTTTATCCAATTTCCCATCTTCGGTAAATGTAGTTCCCAGATATTCAAACTCAGATGCCTGTTTAATGCCTTTGCACTGCATTGTTATGTTTAGATCTGTCTTCTTTTTTCCTATTGACATTACTTCTGTCTTTTCAGTGTTGATTCTCATATTATTTGTTTTACATTCATCATTCATGGATGTTAGATGTTGTTGCAATTTCATGGCTGTATCTGCTATCAAGGCCTGGTCATCTGCAAAGAGTAATTCGTTGATCTTACTAACATTTTCATTCATGGGCTTGCCAATCTTGCATATACTGTTGATGTAGGTGATAAACAGCAGTGGTGATAAGACACATCCCTGTCTTACTCCAGATGTCACTGTGAATGGATGAGATGTTCCCTGATTTATTCTAACTACACTTCTACAATCCCTGTATAAACTTTTGCACACTTCGATGAGGTGTTCGCTTACTCCACATCTTGCCATTACTTTCCATAATAATTGTCTGTCGACTCTGACAAATGCCTTCTCCTGGTCTACGAATGCCACAAAAAAGTTCTTATTGTATTCAATGTTCTTTTCTATCAACTGTTTAAGTGTGAAGATTGCATCTGTGCAGCTTCTATTTCTCCTAAATCCCATCTGTTCTTCTGCCAGCTGTGGTTCTATCACTGGTCTCAGTCTTGTTTCTATTATCTTGGCATACATTTTGTCAACATGGCTTAAAAGAGAAATGCCTCGGTATTGACCGCAATCTTGGTTGCTTCCTTTGTTCTTCCACAATGGTATAACTATTGCATGTTGCCAATCAATAGGGCAGTTTGTTGTACCCATGCTGCATTAAATATTCTGTAAAGCCATCTGATGCTGCTTTCACCTGCTGTTTGAATTATTTCTGTTGGTAATCTATTAGCTCCTGGTGCTTTATATTTGGGAGACTGCTTAATGACTTTTTCTATTTCATCCATTAGTATGTGTGGTTCTAACACTGTTGCTCTGTGCTCTTCAGTTGTTCTTTCCTGATGATCTCCTAGAGGATTAAAGAGCTCACTGAAGTATTCCCTCCATTTTTCTGCTATCTCGGATGGATCTATCAATAGGCTTTCTGTCTTATCATTAATTATTTCAGTGGGGTTGTAGCTCTCATCTCTTTTCTGCATATTTTTAACTACTTTGAAAAATTTTCTGGTGGCTGTTTTCACATTTTCTGCTAATGACTCACCGAAACGTTCCCAGGATGCTTGTTTTGCTTTCTTGACACTCCTGTTGGTTTCTCTCCTTTGCAGTCTATAGTTTATATAATCTTCTTCTTTCATTGATTTTATCCACTGTTTATATAAGTCTTTTTTCAAGGTGATGTTACTCTAATGTATTCTATTAAATACAGTTGATACTGAAAACAGGTAAATACTGCCTCCAAAGTGATTCCCCTAATACACAACAGATAATATATACCTGTCTTTACTTCACACCAAACAATACAAACCTGTTCTAATTCCCAACATCCAAACATACTTTCTCTAAGACACATAAAACATTACACCCATGTCTCTAATATACAACAGACAATATATGTGTCTCTAATTCACAACAGGCAATATCATATTCATTAGTGTATAAGCCGCACCCCATTTCTGAGACAATAATTTAAGGAAACTATTAATTTTCTGAGAATGTCTTTGAGAAATAGTAGTACCTAAAAACAGTGAAAGATGGACCGTATAAGCGCAAGTTACAGCTGAAAATGTAAGTTGCAAGTAGCGCGTTATGCAAGAAAATGGAAACCAAGCAGCTGGCAGAAAGTTTGATAAGGCTGAGAAAAACATATGTTAAGAGGGAATGGAATAAAAGATGCCCTTGAAAAAAAATTCCAAAATTATTTTTTCTTGGCAAGAAGGTGAATTACCAAAAAGAAGAAACCAATCTGCTGAAATATGTAAAAAAAAAACAGGCAGATGGGTCTTGAATATAAACCGCACCCTATTTTTCATCAACGATTTTTGGTTAAAATACTGAGGCATATAGCTCATAAATATGGTATATACCTGTCTTTCATCCACAAAAGACGACACATACTTGTCTCAAGTATATGATATATATTACATACCTGTCTCTAAAATGGATATCTGCTTTCAGGTCACGCTGCCCTGTAAGTGAGGCCACCAGGACCTTCTTTTCGCTATGCCTACGCTGAAATATCAAGTTAATAACAGTTGACCTGTGGCCTGCCCTTGAAATGACATTGAGGGGCCATGGAATGTAGGCACTGGTGCCAACGCAAACATGGAACTCCTGTACTCTTTCAGGCCCAATGATGTGTAATTTCTCATCTGAAACAGAGATAAACTCTTTGCAATTAAAATAATTTTTCATAACAAATTATTTACTGCCTAAGAAATGTATCACAGTCAATTGGCAATCAAACTGCTATAATTTTATGTGAGGATGGTAACAAGAAAAAGAAGAATGAAAATAAGAAGGTCGGTAATATATTTTACACTGTAACCCTTTCATCCTAGAAACCCTTGCAAATAAAAGGACACAAACCTGGGAATTCTCCTACTCCCCCTTTTCCTGCTTTGTCAACTTCAAAAGAAAGGTAACACTACTACATTTTTAACAAAGCATGATGCAGAAGCTATAAGATCAGAAGAGCAGCATTCTTGGTCTATTCTGTTTCAACTTCCCTTCTAGACCAAAGTTCAGGTCAAGGTCTGCCCTGCCATAACATCAAGTTATCAGGTTGTATTTCCTTCTCCTATTATCCTCCCCAGTGCACTCCTCTGCCAGAAGCTACTGGAACAATCTGGGATGTCAGGTTTAGTATACACTGTCCAACATTTAGTGTCAACAGAGAACTGGTAATACTGTTACACAGTATCTCAGTCAAATCTGACCAAGACCTGACTAAGAGTAAACACAGTGTGCATATATAATAGTAGCGCTAGTTCAAATGAGGTGGCTTCAAATGAAAACTTTACAAGTGTGATAGAAATTACAATAACCATGCCACTGCCTTGGAACCTCTTAATATTGTTGTTGAAGATGTTAACTCTTTGAGTCCCAGGGGGTTTAGCATCAGAGGCCCAAAGGGTAGTCAAAAGTGATGTAAAATCGGCACATCTTGCGTTCATTAGGTCTCTAGGCGGGGACTCAAAGAGTTAAGCATGTGGCATCATGGTGCAGACATACATTTTTGTTTTGTTTTTTCTTCCTCTACTGAAAGGCCTTTCAACTAAGTGTGCTCAGGGGCCAAAATACTGGAAAATGGGGACTGTCGTCAGCCAGAGGACCGAGCCCCAGCATAGAAAGATAATGGGCAGGTGATCCACTGGCCATTCTCTTCGCGCAAGCAGGTCACCAGTTAAGAGCCCTGCTTAAGGTTATAACAGAATTATGAGGATGCGTTTCTTTTTAACAAAATTTTGAAAAAGATAATCTTTTAGGATTCTTAACATTGGAAAGGTTAGAAAGTTGAAATGCAGGCTTTCAAATGATTCACTATATAATGATAATTCTCAAACTCACCATAAGCTGTCACCATTGATAGCAATAGAGAGAGGCCCACCAAAATGTTCATGCCTTTGCTGGTTTGCTGACAAATATGATGATAGTGGTATTAGGTTATTCACTGCTTCACTTCATTCACCATGCATTGATTCTTTCCATTCTATAGGAATATTCACCTGCAGTTCTTGGCACACTGTTCGTCTCATACTGAAAGAAATTATGAAATAAGCAAGGTAAATTACTGAACAGACTGTTGATCTCATGCTGAAACATAGTGTAGAAAATAAACAAGCTAAATAACATAATTTGCGGTTTTCCGGCGACTACAGCCACCGCCGCTCATGCGGCGTGGATTGGGGCTAAACTAGATGGCTAGGACTCACGAGCAAAGCTGCAGGAGATGTGGAAGCATGAGCGGCGTGGGGGACATGTGGCGGTGGCCGCTGGAAAACCACAAATTAAGTCGCCGGAAGTGCGCAATTGACACGTGACTGAGGCTTGAAAGGATATTTTGCCGCCGCAATCTTTAGTGCCCGTTCTTCAGGGGATAGGCATATATATATATATACATACATAGAGCGAGCGAGAGAGAGATAGAGAGAGAGAGAGAGAGAGAGAGAGAGAGAGAGAGAGAGAGAGAGAAAGAGAGAAAGAGAGAAAATCAGCAACAGTGGCAGTGATGTAAATTTACCAGAAACTGGAGAAATTTTTTATACTTATACAAACTAGCTAACTATATATTATTACATGGGCGTGGTGAACTTTGCATTTCAACCAGATCTGAGTTGCGCAAGGATCGAATACCCACTTTATTCAATGAAATCCATTACTAGATGAAGTCTTTCCCACTCAAATATCCATGCACTAGTTACTGATCTGTTTACAAAGTAAATGTAAAATGCAACCAACTAAAGTCTCTTCTACACCTACCATAACCTCAAAGTGGAAATTAAATTGCTTTCTTCCCAGTCAAGTGCGTGCCTGTAATTAGATTATTACTTCAGGAAACCAGCCTTCAAGCGACATTTCGTGCCAAGAGCCATCCCAAAAGCCATTAACTACTGTTTCCGTGCCATGGTGGTGAAATAAACTTGGCAATTTGACCAGTTTCTGGAGTCTGCACAACTGTTGTTGTTTACACAATCCCCTGCCGGAAGTCCAACCACAATGGAGGTCAATTACGGTTATCTGTGTATAAATAAATTATCTAAAATTTCCGCAGGATAATTTAAGATTTTATTTGATTATGTGCCAAGTCATAATATGAAAATTATACAACATTAAAGGTCTGCTTTTGATCTCTAAATTGTCTAAGTAAAATCTCTTTGTGTCTGTTGTTTCAATGTCTGACTTTTGTGTATGTGTAAATATTTCTGGGTTGAGTTTTAATGAAAGATCCCCAACACAGAGACTAGACATGATGTTTTTCTACAGAAGAGTTTGTCGTCTTCACTCACGGCCACGGCTGCTAGAGGTTGTCTGAAGTCTGAAGCAACCGTTTGTTGTGTGTGCGGTCTTTAATATAAAATTACAACAATGAGAGGTTAATATTAATAAATGTTGAAGTCTTTACCAAGTTGACTATATTTTAATGTAACAAGTTTGGAGAATGTGTTGCAAATAAATAACATTTTCAGTTGCCCAGTGAGGATGTGCAGTACTAATAGTACTAACTTTAATCCTTAGAATAGTAACTAAGGATGATCTAAGTTTCAGCTTCATATAACAAACGGGTCACCTCATCCGCTCCTGTGCCAACGAAAAACACACAGAATGTGGAAAGATTGACAGACTGATGTCTCAGCATATCTAGCATACACACGCATTAAAGCATAAGGTAGCCATCCGAAGTGCTAACACAAAAAATCCGACATAAGAAATGCAGTTCATCATTGATGGTAGCAGAAGTCACCAACAGATCAGCAGTTGCCGGCCCGATCAATTTTAATCATATACGGGCACCGCCAACATTTACAACAGGCATTGCGCCATTTTTTTTTAATCTACAATTCACACCACCACATTGGTCACAGTCGAAAAAACATTCCAAATGAAATCCGCAGCTCACAGTGTCCTGCCATGCATTAAACTCAGAAGCTGGATGACGAAACTATATCCAGTCTACAAATGGAGCAAAAATTGCATCGGATTATCTATCGACTCTGTTGGGGTTCTGCACGGGGGGGGGGGGGGGGGGGGGGGGGGGTGGACCTAAATTTAAATACTTAACCTTTGCAGTTAATAGATTACAATGGGCTCTAAGTATAAGTATAGAGCGGTGTAGTAACTCTATGCGACTGGGGTGGGGGGGGGGGGGTGGGGCCTAAATTTAAATACTTTACCTTTGCAGTTAATAGATTACAATGGGCTCTAAGTATAAGTATAGAGCGGTGTAGGAACTCTATGCGACATCACATTGATCGCAGGCAATAGCAAGACCAGCTCAGAATAACTTATTTAATCAGAAAAAAAACTTTTTCACAATAAGTGCATGCCCTGTTTCAGTGCTACTGCATGCTTTTATGTTTCCTGTCAAACTCTTAGCCTGTGTGCAATCCTTTTCTCCTTTGCCCTGATTCCCTGCATGATCTTTTGCCTCCACGTGTTCCTGTTCCAATTAATCCATCACATTACCTGTGTTTTTCATTTCAAGCTTGCACACATCTTTATGTTGTAGTAAAACCTAAGTCTGAGATCTCCTACCACGTCTGTATTCACATAAGATGATGCTCTTAAAGTCTCTACCTTTCCTAAATGTGTCCTAGCCACCTGATCCGTCGACAACTAAACAGTGAGAAAATAGTTGTGACACTTTCTAACACAGAGTTTGTAATCTTGTCTTGCCAAGTTGTGTATGTAGGCATCACATATGAAAGCTTTTTAATTGTTTCTCCTGGTATGAGTTGCAGATTTTCATTGCCATAAATCCCCGTGTGGATTCCGGGGCCCCATCGTGGGAAAAACAAGAAAAGACCCTCTGCCTACCCAAAAGCATGTCGTAAGAGTCGACTTATTGGGGAGCTTTCTTTGAAGTCGGAGTGCATCTGCCTGAGAGGCAAGGAACCAACAGTCTGCATTCAAGTGAATCAGATCTGTAAAACTGATGCACACGCAACACTCAGGTTCTGGAGTAGGACTGCAGTTCAGAAGTGGGCGAACAACCAGAACTTTCCACCAGAGTGTACAGCTGGTGAACGCAAAGAAGAATTGCCATAAAGAAGAGTTCTAAGGACAAATTCTTGATAGACATGTTTGTTTTCCCAGTGAGTTTTCTGTGCTATGAAACTCCTTTTATTAATCTGCTCATTGTTGTTGTTGTCATACCTATCTGATGTTGATTTAGAAAAGAAACAAATGCAGTACCCACTTAGAATTGACATAAAGGCCTAATTGTTGGATAGCATTTTTTGAAGGCTTTCCAACTGTGATGGTCTTATATGTTTAAAAACAAAAACAAACAAAAATTTGAGTCAAGAATTGACATCACATTCCCATAAGCGCTTCATCCTTATCTTTATTAGCGAGTGCAGAGTTCTAATTCCAATGGTACCAGTAACTGTCTGATTTTATATCTGCCTCACCTTTCCTTTAAGTGTTGAGCATCAGCCAGATCTCCTGGTCCCTCCTCGCAGCACCATTCTCCTCAGACCGTAATGATATTTTTGTGTGTCCACACTTTTCAATCACTTCCAAAGGATCCTTATAATATCTGGCTTGTCATAAAAAGTTTAATACACACGCACGCACACCCGCACGCACGCACATGCACACACACACACACACACCACACACATATATATATATATATATGATTGGCACATTTCTGTCTTTCAAGACGATAGTGTTATATTGCGCTATGAGTCGGCATGAGACTCACAGCCCATGGCGATGGCAAATGTGACTAGCAAGACCTGCCCGTGTGAAGAAAAATCTTCCATAATGATAGCATGGGAAATCAAGACCATTGTTGTCAATATTTGTGTTTAATCCGTTTCTTTTCAGACGCTCAGCTTTCATCCTTTCTGCAATCATTTCTTCCTTCACTCTCATTCCCTATATATATATATATATATATATATATATATATATATATATATATATATATATATATATATATATATATATATATATTATATATATATAGAGAGAGAGAGAGAGAGAGAGAGAGAGAGAGAGAGAGAGAGAGAGAGAGAGAGACAAAGACAAACACACATATAAAGCTCTTGAACATTCTAAGCCTATAAACTCTTATTTTGTCGTCCTGATACAATCTCCTCCTTTATTATATGCCTTGATAAACCTATTTTATGATTCAAAATATTTTGCAGGTTTTTCCACACCGGGTTTGTGGTCATTTCTTCAGCTGTCAAAACGAGGATTTGCTACAGCTGCTGCTGAACAAGTGGACAAAACTTTGTTGGGCAAATTGAGAAAGCAGACAGGCATCCCTTTCATCAACTGTAAAAAGGCCTTGGCTAAATTTGATAATGATTTTGATCAGGTAGGCTAACCACTTCAATTTTGAATGTTGAATTTGGAATTGACATCACAGACACTCCCATAAGCGCTCCATTCCCATCTTCAGCAGCAAGCAAAGAGTTCCAGTTCCGATGGTACCAATCACTGTCTGATTGTATATCCGTCTCGCCCTTTCCTTCAGTGTTGAGCTTCGGCCAGATCCCCTGGTGACTCCCCACAACGCCATTCTCCTCAGACCGTAATGATCTGTTTGTGCCTCCGCACTGTTCACTCGCTCCCAAAGCGCCCTTACAACATTTAGCTTGTCATACATGATTTCACCACCAAGTGGTGCAGAACCAGCCATCTATCTGCCTGCTCATTTCCCAACACACCGGCATAACCTGGACAAAATATCCAAAGGATACTAACTACCCGGGACCTCTAAAGCGATTCTTGCCACTCTGCATGGAGCATGCCTGTCTCCACCACTCTCAGCATGCTCTGTGTGTCAGTTACAACCATGATACTAAAACCCATAATAGTAGGGTAGAGCAGGGCTATCAGACAATACATCAGGAACTTGATACCCATTCCTCAAAAACCCGAGTGGATCAGTCACAGTTACGAAGGTTTGGACATGTATGCAGAATGGGAGAAAATAGACCACTGTGGCAAGCATGCAATGCTAAGAACCAGGAACCTCCAGGGCGACCCAGGGTCTGCTGGGAAGACAACGTCCGACAGTCCCTGACAGAGGACTGGAATGGAACGAAGCCAGAAAGAAAACAACTCATAGAGACGTCTGGCGATTTCTCTAGCAAACCTCTACACCCAAAAGTAGAAGAGGAGCGACTAAGTAAAGTAAAGTAGAGCAGAGCTATCCAGTTAAATTTACTCAGGAGCCACAACTTTGAAAATGAGGATTGACAAGGGCTAGAGGCACAAGCCCCACCATAGAAAGATCATTAATATAATACAACTGACAGTGATCCATGGGCCACTTGCTAGGCCTCCACGGGCTGAACCTGACCTGCAGACCACCAGTTGAAAAACCCTGGCAAAGAGTAGCACTTATGTGTCCTTAGTCACTTTAGGAAGATTAACATGGGACTGGTTTGCCAAAGAACAAATCTAAACAAGATATTAATGTGGGTTCTCTTGGGTCTGTGTTTCCTTGTTTTCCCATTTCCCATCATCAAAAAGATAATTTTACCATAGCAGTTCTTCTCATCTCTACAAGGTGTATACTTTAGATGTTATACTCATCTGTTCCAAGATAGTTGCACCGGAAAGCAATGACATTCCATTTCTGTTGTTTCAACAGGCCAAGAAGTGGCTTCTGGAAGAAGCACAAAAGGAAGGATGGGCTCGAGCTACCAAACTGCAATCCAGACCCATGTCTCAAGGGTTGATTGCAGTGTTTGCAGATGGCAAGCAGGCTACAATGATTGAGGTTTCTTATATAATTTTTTGTTATTTTTTGTTTGTTCATGGTTGTATTTTTGTTAGTTTGAGAAGTATCTGACAGTTATTTTCTTGAGATAAACAAATCAAATGCAGGTATCCTCCCGTGGGAAGTTTAAAGGCGACCTTCATACACACGACTGAATGTTTTAACACCTGTTTTTTTTTGTTTTTTTTCTCTGTGTGTGTTAAAGATTGACATCATTGAACTAGGGACATTCCTATAGTTTGCAAGAAAGGGTTCCCATACGTCCCATTTTTACAACCTCATTGAAAATTTGCCTCTTTTTTCTGGTGTGTGTGGGAAATCGTCTTGTATCGGCTCACTCTCTTCTGTATCATTCTGTGTCTGCTCTGCTGCACTGTCTGCTTAACTCTGGAGAGCCCTCACCATGTCCACTGTATTGTAAAGTAGCTTACCACCCAGAAGGGCAGCAGCAGCTAATCTATCAGTTTTAAAACATAAAATCTTGGGAAAATAATTTGGTTTCCTCATTGCCTTCCACAACCACCCTGGGGAACTGTACCCCTGCCTTTGGCACATATTTTTCACTGTAAGGTCAATTGAGAACACTCTGTTCAGCTCATTTACAGAGTTCTTCATCCCTACAGTTTGATACTTTGACCGCAAAGCTGTAATTAACACACAGCTGTGCATTTCTCAGCTTGCACCACTTGGGAGTGCAGTTTGGAGATTCCCCTTCTCAGCCTATGAAACCATAATGGCCTGAGAAATAAAACAAGTGGATACAGGCAGTCAGCAGTGAAACAGACTTTTTCAGAGTGCATCTGCCTGAGAGGTGAGGAACCAACAGTCTGCATACACAACAGCTGATCTTTAAATTTGATGTGCACACCTTACTCAAGTTCTGGAACAAGAGCAAAGTCCAGAAGTGGTCGAACAACTATAACTTTCCAAAGTAGTTTAAGGCTGAAGAACCTGAAGAAGAAGACAAATCTATTTCTTGTTAAAATGTTTATAGGCAAATGTGTTGATCTATTTCAGGTAAACTGTGAGACTGATTTTGTGGCTCGCAATGAAAAATTTATTGCTATGGTTACCAAATTAGTACAGGAATGCAGTGCTCACTTTGAGAAGTTCAACGAGAAAGTGGTGAGTTCAATCATGCAGCCTACTTAATCATTGTCATCATTTTTAATTCTGCTTATGCACTGCCATGCTTGCCTTCTGGTCACACGGTCTTGGGTTTGAATCCACATTGAGTCTGACTTTATTATAATTCTTCTTTTGTCATTTCGCTGATAACAAGGACTGAAACCAGTCACACAGTACATTAAAGAACAACAAATGAGATGGTTTGGCCACCTGATGAGAATGCCCTGGTACCAACTGCCACAGATAGCCACGCTGAAGAAATACAATGAACACAGAGCAAGGGGAAGACCATGCAAAATATGGAGAGACGCCATCAGGAGCAACCTAACAGAAATGAACACCAACTTGTACAGTGCATTGAAAAAAGGGCACAAACCAACCTTAAATCTTCCCCCAATATCTCGCTGAGGTAAATGGCGGAAGAAGAAGAAGCTGATGCTAGATTGTAGCCCAGTGTCACAGTTTTAAGTATTTGTCTTGCACTTCTCTGGTGGTTTGGGTGATGGATTTATTCATCTGTTTACAGGTTTCACCTGCACTATTTACTCTTCTCTTCCTTGGTGTTTGCCTGGCCTGTCTCCCAGATGTTCTGTAAAAAGTCTCACATGCAGTTTCGTCTGGCTACATTCTCACTAGATGGCTGAACCATTTCCTTCTTTGTCTGTCAGTATAATTCAGACACGGTCTTGTTCCAACTTTCTCTCTAATGCTGGGTATTTTTAATCCTGTCTTTTTCTTATGTTGTTAGTGACCTTACGGAGCATATTTCTCAGATTTTATAAATAAATTGACTGCCAGGTCAAGTGGACTCTTATGACATGCTTGTTGGGGAAGCAGTGGGTCTGTTCTTGTTTTCTCCACACTGGGGCCCTGGAACCCACCTTGGGGAGCCGTCACCCCTCAGATCTCAGGATTAAGACCCTTGTCCTCCAACCATTAAAAAATGATAAACACACACAGTAAATTAAAATAAGCCAAGTCTCTCATTCCATGCCCTTAGCGGTTGTGGGTATATAGTGCTAGACTTATATTTGTTAAGATCCATCTGACCAGTGGACACACAGTTGTTGGTGTGGTCAGCATCTTTACTTCCCAGGACTGTACCTGGTTTTAGCTTGGGTTTTGGGGCCCCATTTCAGCAGTGGGAAAAGGAGGGATAAACCCACTGTTGCTCTAACAAGCATGTCACAAAAGGCAAGTGGGGGGTTTCCTTTAGAGCTAGAGTGCATCTGCCTGAGAGGTGAGGAACCAACTGACTGCATACAAATAAGACAGATCAGTAACACGCATGTACAGGCAACACTCTAAGTTATGGAACAAGACTAAAGTCCAGAACTGGACAAACAACCAGGACTTTCTGCCAGAGTTTACAGCCGGTGAACCCTAAGATGAAGAAGAAGAAAATCATTTGTTTCTCTCATAGGTTCAAACATTAAAAAGAATTTGAAGCTCCACGTGTAAAATGTTTCATTTTTTTTCTCTCTTAGATTGACATATTTAGACAAATGTGAAGCTTGACGTAAAATTCATAATTCTGTGTTAGCTTGTAGTATTTTCATATACATTTCATCATGTGTGTTTAGCCATCCCTTGAACAATTCAGAACTCCACTTAACATGTAAAACTCATGATTTATGTCATAGGTTTACACATCTTAAGTGATTTAAAAAGATAAAAAAATCATTTAGGCTTTCATTTGATTACACATCTCTTCAGGACAGTGGTTCTCAATCTGTGATTTGCAACCCTTTTTTGGGGGGGGGGGTTGAACGACCCTTTCACAGGGGTTGCCTAAGACTATCGGAAAACACATTTTTTTTAAGTTATCAAGTATTAAGAAGAAGAATTGTGTTTGGGCATTGCCACAACATGGGGAAATGTATTAAAGGGTCGCAACATTAGGAAGGTTGAAAGCCACTGCTTTAGGAGTAATAATCATTTGTGCCCATCGTAGTTTACAGATCTTCATAGAAAACTGTATGTGTCTCTCTGTGAAATGTCATCAGATCTCCTTGAAAAAGGCTGAGTTAGACCAAATTGTGGGCTCTGATCAGGCAACACTGGCTGATATCATAGCTTTAAACATCGGAAACATTGGGGAGAACATGTCATTGAGACGGGGAACTTTCTTTAGAGCGGACAGTGGCTGTGTGTTGTCATCTTACGTGCACCCATCAGGTAGATAACTAAATAGCTGTACTTATCTGTAAAATTTTTGCAGAGCAGAGAATTCTTTCTTTCTTTCTTTCTTTCTCTTCTTTTTTATTTCATCTTCTTCCTCTTACGGTAATGAAAGAGATAAAAGAGAAACTATAAAAAAAAAAAATAGTTGGATGTTATATTAACAAATAGCCTAGTGACTGACTGGTGTGCAGAAATGGGTGCTGTCATCAACACAGAAAAGACAGCTGTTTTATAGTGCACTCTGGACAATAGAATTGTAAGAGCTGTTTCATGTCACACAGTTAATGATGGAAACATCAACAGAAAAAGCTCACTTTTGATTGAAGGGATCATGTGGAGGCAGTTGTGGTGAAATACCAAAAAGGACTCGGTGCACTGAAGGCTATGGCAATCTTGGATATGGAGCAAAGAATGTTGTTCACAGTATTCCAGTATTCGATCCTGTCAGTGATAGATTATGGATTTGGAAAGCTTACCATAACAAAGTGTCAGCTGATGTAACTTGAACACATACGAATGAAGCCATGAGGGTAATTCTGGGATGTACAAGAGATACCCCAGTAGTCATATCTTAGAGTAGCCGCAGATAAGAAACACCTTCTGCATGAAGCCCTAGACAGAGCTGAGGGTCACAAACTGAAAAGAGGAAGGTCTTAGATGCTGAAAACTGAACACACAGTTAGACAGTGTGTAGGCTTGATAACATTGGATGAGGAGAGGAGTGGGTCAGAATATCCTGGCAAAAGTCAGACTTGTGTAGGGTTATGATCACACTAGGTCGTGTGTGCAGGGACTGGCCAGCGGGCGGCCGAATCAGAAGTTTGACAAATTATTTATGACAGTTTTTACTGGTGATGTGATAATCTTTACAGATTGCTATATGTTGATAAGCAGATGAAAGGCATGGGAGTTCTTAGCAAAAGTAAATGGACATCACTTGATGCAACAAGGCCTGGCATAACACCACAATATCTAGTTTGAGAATGGAGGTTGAGGCAGTCATGGCATCCTTTCACTGGCTTAAGAATCAGCTGTACATAGGTCGTAATTGTAATCGACTCGCGGAGTATATTGGGAAAGGTCGAGACCGGTATGCTCTGTGGAGAGTGGCAAGCATTGCTGCAGAGGTCTGGAGGATATGTCGGTATATAAAGAAATGAACAAGCAGATAGACTGGCTGCATCTACTCAACATGGTGCAGTGATGTATGACAAGCTAGATGCTTTAAGGGCCTTTTGAGGGCGAGTGAACAGTGCGAAAGGACAGATGGATCATCATGGTCTGAAGGGGATGGCACTGCTATTGGTAGCATTGGAATTGGAACTCTGCGCTTGCTGCTGAAGTTAGGGATGGAGCGCTTATGGGAATGTCCCAAACACTGTTATGTCGATTTTTAATTAAACATTAAACAATAAACATTAAAAATAGCATGTGTAATGCAGATTACACAGTATTGAATGTTGAAAATGTAAAAACTTTGGAGTCAGAAATCATAGTTATGTTAAAGACGGATAACACTAACATGTGACATTACGATAGAAACATATATGCATAACAAAGTCAGATGAATCAAACCTTTGGGGGCTAATCTTAACATTAGGTGGAACATGTCTAGCGGATTTTTAAAAAAAATAAAATATGTGCAAAAAATGTGTTCAATAAAAAGTTTCTTGTGCAATAGTCATTGAATGTCAAGAGAGTACTGAAATCTTGTGTCCAGTCCATTCTGTTGTGCACCATTAAACTTTAGGGTTGTGAACAAACAAATTTGGAAAATCTTAGGAGTAGCAGAGATGTGGTTCCTTGGATGGTTTTTTGGGAATACTTTTGAATGCCAGAGAAAATAACAGTGATGACCTGGAAGAGCTTAATGAAAGTATACAATTATACAAATCTATCATCATCATCATCAATTTCCACTTCTGCTGTTAAGGGTTGTGGGGAGGAACAGTTTGTGATCCATTGCTTGATGGGCAGCATTAGCTCTTGTCATTCCTTGTTGATGTGGAAGCTCTTTAATGTCATCAGTCCATCTTCTTCTAGGGTGGCCTCTTGATTTTACCTCAGATCTTTTCATTAGTGGCGCCTGCATTGGTTGTTGTTCTGGATGGATTCTTACTAACTAACCAGACCATTTGATCTTCTGTTTCTCAGTGAATTTGCTGTATAATATTGTTCCTACTGTCTTTCTGATAATATCGTTCGTTTCTAACTTTGTCTTGAATGGTTAGGTTGGCGGCTTTTCTCAGTCATCTCATTTAGCTGGTGTTAATTTTACGTAGGTTAGCCTATGAAAATGTTTAAGTCTGGCACTGGTAGCACAATTTTTGTATGCATATGCTGTTTATAGTCTCACACTTATGTTTGTCTGTCTTAATAGTGATGTCAGTTGGTGTATAAGTGCACTGACTCATTGGCATCTTGTTTCTATTTCCCAATCTATTCTCCCATCCTCCAAGAATATACTTCTTAGAAATTTAAATTCTTTGACTTGCTTCAGACAAGTACCATTCAACCCTGATAGTAGTGGACTTGGTAATCTGCTGACCTGCAGTACGTCAGTTTTAGTATATTTTTTTCATGTTATTTCTTCTGCATGTTGAACTTAGCCTGTTCAAATGTTCTTACAGTCTATTCCTCTTATTGTAGAATAAGCACTGATCATCTGCACATAGTAGCTCATTTATTATGTGTGGATCTCATTCTTCCTATGGAAAGTAAAGTTACTGATGTTCTGAATTTTTCTGGGGACTTCAGTCAGAATTTTATCTCTTCTGGTCACTCTTGCAGCCTTTCTGAGACTTAGCATATCCATTGTTACTACTTTTGTTTTCTAGTTTTTGTTTGTTGGTAAGAGACCATAAGTGAGACACTGGTAGCATAAGGTGAGAATGAATATGCTTTGTATGAGACGTTTCATTTTGCTGATTTGGATTTAATTCATTGATTGCTGAATATTTTTGTACCAGCAATATGTACAAAGCATTAATAATCTGTTTGTAAATACGCAGGTGGCAACAAATCTCCAAAGAGTATTCTGTTTGGAAAATATGGTGCTATTGTGGAGATGAAGCAGAAGAACAAAGATGACGAGCCAGTGATGAGCCTGGCAAACCTTGGCAGCCATCTTTGCCAGCACATAGTTGGGATGAATCCCAGAATCATTGGAGACTACGTCCCAAAGGACAACGATTCTCAGGGTACCAACGTGGTAGAGAAAGAAGACTCTGGATACAGCAGTGATGCTAGTTCCGACACAGAAGTCTCATCACAGAATGAAGATGTTGATGAAGATAAGCTGCTGCAGCAGGTCTTCCTGCTGGATAACTCCATGACGGTGGGCCAATTGCTGTGTCTCAATGGAGTAGAGGTCTCTCACTTCTTGCGTTATGCTTGCGGGGAAACACTGGAAGGTGAAACTGAAGTCTAACTAACTGAAGATCATAATGATGATGGCGTCAACATTTATTGTATGCAAGAATTTAATGTTCACATTTAACCAATAGTGTGTAAACAGTCTGGAAAGACTGAATGAACAGACAGATACTAAAAGAAATTTCAACAATAAAAAAATAGACATTGAAATATTTTGGCCATGTGAAAAGAATTTTTTGTTTTTTAAACAATACTGGAGAAAAAAGTCGAGAGCAAGAGGCAGACAGTATGCAAGAGGGAAGAAAACATCAGGAGATCGACGAACAGCAGTCTGAAAGTTAATACATCTAAGACAAGAGACACGGCATGTTGGAGATTCACTGCAAGCAACCTTCATTTTGGCGATGGCACTTAATTGTTTCTGTAGACAACCTTACATTTCACATTGTTCATTTCAAGATTCTCTTCATAACTTGTCAGGCATGCCCATACCTCCTCCTAAGCATGTTTCTTGGTGTATTTACGCTCATGATTTCTGTTCTATGCTAGTTGATGCAATAACTCTGGTACATTTCATAATGAAACTTTACATTAAAACCTTACATTTCACATTTCACCTTACATTTCAAGATCCTCCTCACTGCACATCAGGCATGCCCTTATCTCCTCCTAAGCATGAACTGTAAGAGAGGCGCACTTGGTATTCTTCAGTGATGTGATGAGATCATTGGAGAGCATTGTGATGAGTGGAAAGATCACTGGTACAAGAAGCAGCGGCAGACCGAGAGAAAAGATGTTTGATGGCATAGAGAAATATCATTTGCTTCATAATACCAGGGAACATCATGATATCTGACCTAGGCATTTAGTGTAGTCAGTGACTGAGGAGCTGCTGGCCAAGGGATTGCAATGATGGGCTCCCAGGTGGGAGACCCGGGGTCGACCCCCCAATAAAGTGATAAGAGTTGTTCTGTTAGGGGTTAAATTAAACATCTTAACCTGCCCAGTCCATCTCGACTGCACTAGCCTAGTGGCCTTAAATCCTCAGGCTCAGGACCCCCAATATAATCGCCCTAAGAAGTTGAAAATACAGACAGTAGTGAAAGTGGTTGGGTACTGGATTCAACAAATTATGTTGATGTGTCCCCTTTATTGTTCATCAGATGAAAAGACCGTTAGTTACTAGTCAGCTCTCTGGACAGACTTGATCTAGATAGGGCACCAAAGACACATTTGTTATCCATCGCACCTGGATTAATCCTCCTCCTCTTCTTCTTCTTCTTCTTGTTTTTCTTCTTCTTCTGCTTGTTTTTCTTCTTTTTCTTCTTCTTGTTTTTCTTCTTCTTTTTCTTCTTCTGCTTTTTCTTAGTGTTGACTGGCTGTAAAATCTAGCAGGATGTTCTTGTTATTCATCCACTTCTGAACTTAAGTTTTGTTCCAGAACTTGTATTTTACTTATCTGGCCTGTGTTTCTGCAGACTGTTCCTCATCGCTCAGGTAGACTTCAAAGGAAATACCCCTGATTAGTTGTCTTTTATGATACGTTTATTAGGAGAGGGCAATGAGTCTATTCTTCCACCCCCCCCCCCCTCCCTAAAAAAATGAACCCTGGATCACACACTGGAAAACCTGGCTTCATATCCAGCTATCTGGACGCTGTCTTACATCTGGATCCAGATGAGCTAGGCATGATAATGAGATTAACACATTGCACAACTCTTCTTTATAGGAATCCCCTTCTTTTTGCAAGTCATTCTATCTGCCATTTGATGTGCACTTTGTTCAAGAATGTTCTGGCCTCACTTTGGTCGCCCAAGTCCCACCGTTCTACTTCTTGTCATTCTCTCATTGGATGATCTCATGATGGATAAACAAAAGCAGTTAGAAAACGGATTGGTAGGAATGATCTCCAAAATGTTACAAGCACAAGAAGTTCCAGTTCCAGCTTTTAGAGTCCGGCATTCCATTAAATACTAAGGAAAGTGGAAAAAAAAAATCAGTGGATTACATTGAGAATTAGGATCCATGCAAATCTCATGCATGTGTTCATATATTGATTTTTTGTGAGTTTTATATTAATAATAGACATTTGTTTTGGTCAGTATTGTTCATTTTCATTAAAGTGTTGTGCATTAATATAATTGTCTGTGTTACAGAATTGTTTTACCTAAATAATTTATTATATTTGTTTTAAACTGTGACTTGGTCTGTCTGTGTCAGCTTGTGAAAATATATAATCTTCGTACAGGATTTAAACTGTGACCACTAACCCTGCAGGCAGTGATGCTAGCCACAGCTCAGAGTTTGATTTAGGCAGAGCTTTTTTTTTCATTCTAGAAAGAAAGGTGCCGGTACTAACCACAGAGTGTCAAAAAAGGTGCCGGTACTCACACCAGTGTCTGAAATAAAAATATGCCATAAGAAGGTGCCGGTACTGTGTACCGTTGAGTACTGCCATAAAAAAAGCAGTCCTGGATGTAAGTCGAAAACTTCAGCCGGAATGAAAATGGCCTTTATGTATAAAAAGGTATATTTTAGCATCTCTTTTCATTTTTGCCATTGGAAAAGAAACAGAAAACAAACTGTGTTTAAAATAGTTTATATGTAACATTTAAAGTAATTATACATGAAGAGGACGATGTCAACAATAGTAGATACATATGTGACTTAATATGTTGGTTTATAGGTCATGCGACTGACAGGGTGGCGGTGAACACTCTCACATGAAGACCAGACAAGATTCATTTAGGGACAAGGTGTTGTGATAGGGCTCCTAGAAATGTCCGAACTAAAGTAACAAGGAGAACCCACAAGAGTTTGTAGATAAGATAGTTTATGACACAGTTGAAGTGTGAATTAGATAGTTTATGGCAGAGTGGAAGTATAAATTAGATAGTTTGTAACAGAGTCAAAGTATAGATTAGATACTTTATGACAGAGTCGAAGTAGAAATTTATGACACCCCAGGACTTTGATCTTTTTTCAAAACGTGAGTTTTGTGTGCACATCAATTTCACTGATCCAGCTTGTTTGTAAGGAAAATGTTGGTTCTTTGCCTCTCTCTCTGACTTCAAAGAAAGTACCCCCCATACCCCAATAAACTGCATTTACGACATGCTTGTTAAGACATAGTCAGTCCATTCTCTCCTATCCCCCCCCCCCCTCCTCCCCCTTCCCCACCACTCCCCTAAAGGATCCCAAAAAACCTGCATGGGAAATAGATAGAATAATTCAAGAGGTTGGTAAGATGTGCGATAAATTGAGAGCATACCGCTCTCGGAATAGAATCAGCTAGGATGTTTACAGTAATGACATGTATGTAGTTTGTGAAATGAAATACGTATTTTCTGGCTGTGATAAAGAAAAGGATGTATGTATTCTTGCTTGTTGGGGAATGTTGATGATACTTGTGAGTCTTGGTCGTTAACGACCTAAAAGTCCTGGGTTCAGCACTGGTCCTGGAATAGGAATACCGATGGCCTGGTTCTGGCCTCCTCCAAAGAGGCCTCCTCCTCCTCCTCCGCCTAGAAGAGTGGATAATAAGAGAAGTTCCATCAGCGAGGATCCATCTGACCCATGTCCATGTTTGCGGTTATGGCTGCTGGATCCGCCATCAAAGTGGTGCACGTGGATCGTTTTGCTGGGTGGCCTTCTGTTTATTGTGGAGAGATAAACAGAAGACGATAAAATAGAATGAAATTGCACCAAATCATCTGAGATAAACCAGCTGACAATTCTATCGCTAATATCACCCACCCCCCCCCCCCCCCCCCACAACTAATGATCTGATTTACTTAGTTTCACAAATATTACTTTGGACAACACACAGATGGATACATAGATAGATACATACAGAGAGACACACTGACATAAATACAAAGAGACTGATAGGCACAGACGGAGGGACAGATATGCAAACTAACATGCATTCAAACAGAGGGAGAGGCAGACATACAAAGAGACAGATGGATACACACAAATGCAGGCAGGCACATAGTAAATAGACAGATTGAAAAATATACATATTTGTGTACGTTTGCCTTTTCTTCCCAGACAGTTGTGACTACATTATGACACTTTGTCATTTGTCCTTCGAATTCGGCGAGGAATCAACAGTCTAAATACATATAAGCCAAATCCGTAAAATGAAAAGGCAAAACTCAGTTCCGGCTAGAATAACACTACAGTCCAGAAGTTGATAAACAACCAGAACTTTCCGCTGGTGTTTACAAGCGATGAACGCAGAGAAGAAGAAAAAGTAGTAATTTGATGAGACAACAAAGCTAGTACACAAACGTGAACACGAACAAGTATTTCTAGGTAGAGGCGTACGTGGTGCCTGCTGTTACTGTGTGCAGTGATATGTTTGAAGAAAATGCACAGCTTGTATTGGTGAAGCAAATTGTACCCCTATAATAATATATATAAAATAATTTTAAAATGTAAAAATATCTTAAGTGCCTTCTACAAACTATTAAAATATTATTTTATTTCAAAAGTAGCCTATACTTGGAACAAATGGCAACTGTTAGGCACAATGTGTACTTATCCTAGATAGGGATTAAAAGAGGTGTGCCTTAGGGATGTGTATTATCCCCAAACCTTTTTTTAACTAATATTTTTTTTTTTGTTAAAAACAAATCATAAAATTGCCTGTGCTCTATCTATGGACAGACCTTTTTTGGGATGAACGACGTCCCAGTGCAATTCTTTATTTTTACCCGCCCTCTTTATATATTAACATGTTTTACTTATCCATATTTGCAGTCCTAAAAATGTCCCACTCGCCAGCTGCACATGTTGCATGTTACTTAAGTATGGCCCTGTCGATAGAAGAGCACTAAATAATCTGAGATGTGCTGACGACACAGCGTTTCTAACAGAATTTGGGGAAAGGTGACTAGATATGAGAAGTGAGGGGTTAGACAGATTAACGCTAAAACCGGGGACAGGGGACACATCTTTAGCAGGCAATGGGTATGTGTGTTTTTTCTGTCAGAAGAGGGGGAGGGGGCGGCTGAGGAATTTACAATAATATGTCCGTGTAATTATAGATTGAGAACACATTCCTTCTCTTTTTCAAAACAAGAGACAGAGCCTGTTGCAGATCTGTTACAGCCAACATTCACTATGGAGACGTAACCTACATTATAAAATGAAATAAAATCTTCTTACTTCCCCCATATATCTTCTTCGCCCTCTTTTTCACCTTTTAAAGACAAAGAGAATAACAAAAACAGCCAAATGAAGGAGGATAAAAGCAGCCGCCACAGAAGAGTAAATATTAAAAAATTAGCTGAGCCAAGCCTGTTCAAATAGTATGGCTAAATAATCCACACACACAAAAAAAAAACAGTATGACAGCAACAGCTAAACAGCGTAGCGAAATATCCACACACAAAAACAGACTATGCTAACAGCAGCAAAATGAAGTGACAAAATCTCCACACACACACAAAAAAAACATTATATAACAGCAGCCAATCAGCATGACAAAATCTCCACACACAAAAACAGTATATAACACCAGCAGCCAATCAGCACGGCAAAATCTCCACACACAAAAACAGACTATAACCACAGCAGCCAAACAGATTGACACAATAACCAAAAACAGCATATAACAACAGCAGGAGCAAATCTCCGTAATAAAATATCCAAAACAGGAGCATAAAAGAAGGTATGGAGAATAATAATAGTAGCATTTGAGAACATAACAAACTAACTTAACCCTACTGATGAAATCACAGCTCAGTAAGTGTGATAAATATAATTAAACAGGCGAGATGTACTACACAATAGAGATCGGGTATGCAAGAAAAACTACTTTAATAATACAAAGTTCAAGAAAAAATTTAGGA